TGTTTTCTCAGATGCCTGAAAAAATAAATGTATCTGAGGCTCATATCCTCCCAGGAAAAGGAGTGTTTACAGGACAGTGGGTTTATCTGTGCCAGGGCCAGCGGGGCCACGAGGGCCATCGACATCATGTCCCACATCGGCGACGGGGGGGGGGACGGACGCAGGCTTGTGTAGAGACAAAGTTAAACTCAGTGGCCTCAAACTCAAGGGCTCACTCGACCACAGACACAGTGTTATTATTCCAAATAAGGCATTACTCTGATTAGGATGTTTGTGTATGAGTTACTGATAGAATATTCCAATCACATTCCTGACAGCGTAGCCTCAACGTCTGTCGTTCGTGCATCCCTTTTAAAATATTGGCACAGTTATGTTTTTGCATATCCAAACACTTGATTTTTTACATTTCCCATTAAAACAAGTAGAATAACTTCCCCCTCACCCTAAAAAGACGCAGGGCGTGCGTCGTCAAGCGGGCGGAAAGAAAGAATTTAAAATGATGTAAAAACAACAAACGCTTGTTGTGATTCCGTAAAATCGTTTCTAATTATTCAGTTTTGACAGGGAATCTGTTTTTCCTGACACCAAAAAAGACAATGACATTAATTTAACTCGAACTACTGTGACGAATTTCATCTTCAACTTCAGAGTTCAACCAAACCAATGTGCACTCTCCGTGCCATGGAATCAAATCTGCACACTGCCACCAGATCTATGCTGGACCTTTACCAAAAACGCTCTGGGCGTCCTCATGTCCCACTATTAAAACAGCCCAGCGCCCGTATGCTCCTGCTGCCCCGAGTGAGAATAAATCATTAGAGAAGGAAAGAGTGCAGAAGAAAAAGATTAAACAAGACGAAGAGACTGTGAGGAGTAAAGAGGAGGAGAAAGTGCACAGGAGAGGAGAGAAAAAACGCTGCATGCATGGATAGTTGAGTGGACAAATGCGAGCATGTTGAATCATAAACCCATATCACAAATATGACCTAGTTTGAGTCTCACAGTAAATCAGGTCGCCGTGTTTCCAATTACAGCAATTAAAGCTGCAGCGTATCTTGAATCAGCTGAGAGCTGATAACGTTCGGTAAAGTCTTAATGACTCACAAAGCCACCGAAGGAGAAAAACCTCGATCGGCGACTGATCGTCTGCCGCGGAGCTGAAGTTAAACATTCACAAAGATAAACCGCTGTGAATAAATTATCAGCGAGGGGAGCGTCTCATCTCGCTGAGAGGATTCAAGTGTGTCACTGCTCCTTCTGCATTCACTTTCATGTCGCTGTCAGAGCAAGAAGTGATTGGCAGACTTGTTCCGAATCCCACAAGAAAAATCAAGAGCGAGATTAAATTTTGATGTTCTGTCAGTTACAAGTGAGGAACGTTTATGATTTAATGTCTCGGCCTATGGTTCATCATTCTCCTACATTTCCCTGGATGCCTTTTTGGGATCCAGTGGAGAGAGATGGTATCTTTGACATCTGGATCAGAGGAGGAAATATGAGCGTCGCTACGGACTTAACAGTTAAAAAATATAAGAGAATTACAATTACTTCTATGGTCGACACGCGCAAACTGCATGTCCATCTCTCACAAGCACCCATGTGATTAACATGAACGTTTGAAATTATTCCCATGTCCGTCACACCTGATTCTTTGCTCTTTGTTATTATGCAAATACTGGAAGGAGGCGTCAAGGTGTTGCTCTAAACACATGAACACAACTCATGTGTTTTCCACATTCCGACGTCAAAAGCAGCGGAACAACTATTGAAGTGGGTCCTTCAGCGGAGCACGTGAACGCACAGTGACATGTTTTGGTTCCGGAACACATACAACTAAAAAAGCTCTCTGACGACTTCAGCATTTCCTTTATCAAAACGCAGTTTCAAGCATCTCGATTCTCTGCCTCCTGTGCAGTGACCGTACAGTACGATGCACCTGGGGGTGGCGGATCGGTGCAAGCCGGGGGGGGGGGGTATTAAGCTTCTTTACTCCCGTGCAGACACAACACAGCGGCCACTGTATGGCTGCACTTGACATTTCAAAAGAGGCACTTGCGAGCAGATTCACCTTCAGTTAACCCTGAGCAAAGACAAGTTTCCACTCCTGTGATTCCTGAGAGCGGCGCAGCGCGGAGATAAGCCTGTCAATCACAGGCGGCTACTGTGTTTCACAAAGGAAGTGAACGAGGGGGGACAGGGGGGGGGCGGGCTGTTTCTTCTCTCTCTGCCTTTGACCCCTGGATGTGTCTGTGGACGTCTGTAGAGGGAACGCTTGAATCTTAACAGTTTTCTTAACAGTGTGATTGATAGAATAAAAAAGAACCCTGAACAGAACAAGGTGCACTGGGAAGAGTCCAAAAGACAAGACCATTCAAAAACATTAAAGATGAAAAGGAAAACCTCATTTGAAAGTTGCAAGAAACTTAATTAACAAATGTAAGTGATAACATTCCACCATTCCATTTCCTGTTAAAATGACCTGTCTAACACACAGTGTGAGTGCAGGGGGAGACTTACCGTCAGGCCGCTGTCAAGAGACAATCTCTTTAACTGCTCTCTGCTCTCCAGGTGTCTGTTCATGGTGCCCGGCAGCGATCAACACACCTGGGAGGGAGGAGAGGAGGAAAGGGGGAGGAGTGGAGGACAAAAGGGACAGGGAGAAAGTCAACAAGGGAAGAGCTGAATGTCCGGCAGGTCACGTTTCCGCTGTGAGGAGGGCTTTCACCTTTTTACATGAGATCAGAGTCCAAGGAACGGAGCAGCAGCGACTCCAACTAAAAAGCTGGAGTGCGAGTGGAAGTGCAGACCTGTTCTCTGGCCTGACGGGACTCTGCGATCACACAGCTCCAGCTGGATCTTACCGCTTGCTCTCACTGTCACCCAGAGACCCCACCCTCCAAACCCAACACCAAACCCAGAGCTTCAGCCCTTTTTGTTTTTCTAGGCCTCTGCAAACAGCGCTGGGAACCAGTCCGACCTGGCCCGACTGAGGCCACAGCAGAAGATAAACACTTCACTTCACGCATACTACTCCTTTACAAAGAGCCTGCAGGCTTTACGCTCACTGTGCCGGTGCTCAGAGTAAGCACAGCACTTCCTTATTGGTGAGGACAGGGTCAAAGGTCGGCTGATGGACGCCCCAGGGGTCAGGGACCTTGTCCGTACGACGCAACTTGTGTTATCACGTGCATGCGTGGATAAGTCCCGTGTGTCTTATGCAACTGAAATAGAGACTGTTGAACCCAATCTACACTTTATTTTAAATGTTTTCACAGCGTTTCAAATAAAAAATAATTCTGTAATCTATATTTTAAGCCCATAGAAAACCATGTAAAATCAACCACACTCCCCAAACAGCATCCCCAAAGTCCCCTTTTTGCCTCCGCTGCAGACTTCATCTGTTCCACCCTGTCCCCAGCTTCAGCAGCGTGACGGCACACGTCAAACAGCCCCACACATCAACATGACACGTTCCATCCACTGCCAATCTGCGAAGTCCAAACTTATTGACACGGAGCCGCGAGCGACAGATTCCACACGGGATCAGGCGCTCGCATTTCTACACACAACACCACCATCTCCTCCTGCCCCATATCTGAATACCCCGGGGCTAACTGGTGTAGAAGGAAGTTGTCTAATCAGCGAACAGGATGTGAGCGGCCGTGTCTTTAATGACACAGAAACATCCATCTCTCTCTCTCTCTCTCTCTCTCTCTGGCTTTGTAATCACTAATTGTGCACGTGTGCAGCATCAGATGAAACAGTCCGGACTATTATTTACATTACATTTCAGTTTGGTCACTTTCCGCTGCAGATCGGAGGAGGAAGTGAAGCCCTCGTCTTCCCCTGAATGCAGAGATAGGACGGAGGTGATAGGAAATCGAGAGTAAATGATTAAAGCAGTGTGTCTGATTGTCCATGAGTCAGTGTAGAAAACACTGAATCCACTTTCCTGAGGGTATACGGAGTGTGAGGGGTGAGGTAGGATGGATCGGAAGCGATAAAGATTAAGCAAACACATTAAACGCCAGACATCAGGGACGTTCAGATAACAGCAGGCGATAAAACACGGGAGAACTCCGACCTCTGACAGTTAAACAAACCAAATGACACCGATTATGCAAATCAGGCGGTAGGTGCTGTAATTGAATGAATGTAACTGCGTTTACAAGGTTCAGAATGCAAAAATACTAGTTTTTAAATATATAATGAATCAAAATGTAGATTTTATTTAACTCTTCTCTCTTTAGACGTGTTCATGTTTATTCTCATTATGTTTGATATTACAACTACAGTTTTGCTGTCGACACTTTTTGCCAAACATTTATCTTTTCTATCGTCTTTTCAAGTCGATGTCTTCGTCTTCAACGTGAAAACATCATCGTTAGGTATCCACTGGGTGAGAGCTAGTGTTCATGGAAACGAGGAGATGTGATTGACAAACTTTGCTTCCTGGTTTGGTGCCATACCCCTTTTATATTTACATTATACATCATATTACAACAATAAAATGCCCCTTAAACTTATATTTATGAGGCTCTGAGGGCCTTTCTGCAACTGCAGCCCCTCCACCACTGTCCTCCCCCCCCTCCTGTTTCCTTCTGATTTACACCAAAAGCAATTACCGATATGTTAAACCGGTCCAGTGTTGACCTACGCAGGGTGACACGCGTCGACGGCCCCCAGCCGGCCATCCAGCCTGTCGGCAAGCCAGCCAGTGGGGTGGAAAGGATATAATCAAAGGAGGCCAGGAGGACGCTGACATCTGGGAGTCTTTGTGCTGTAGGCCTAATTAGATACCAGGGTGGAGGGAGGAGGCGCGGCAGGATGGTGTGTGTGTGTGTGTGTACAGCCCAAATGCAGAGGGGTGTGTGTGTGTGTGTGCGTGTGGTTGGGGGGTGCACTCTCTTTTTTAACATCTGCTCCAGGAACAAGGGAGGACCCAGCTGAGGTCACAGAGCCCCAGACAGCTCCGAACTACAACAGGGATAATGTGAGGGGATAACAGCTTAATGATAACACTTAAACCCATTGAGAGATCGCTGCACTGAAAACAGACTGTGAGCCTCACGGATAAATAGCGATAATAAGCCCAGATCGTCCATGAATATGGATCGTCATGGCTCAGATTTGATACTGTTCCTTTGTAAGCTGAGGAGAATTAGGCAGCTGTGCATTTATTGCGATCACTGAACCGACCACGCTTCTGTCGGAATAATCCCACGCGTACAGTAGGTAGAGGTCCCGCTAAAGACACACTGTTGCTCCGCCCCCTGGCTTTTGACTCCCAAGTGTTAGACCACACGCCGCCACAAGTGACAATGACGGCCTTTGTAGCCCATACAGTCAGGCATTCAGCCGTGCTTATTCTCAGTTCACAGAGTCGCCAGACGTAAGAAATCTCTGTCATGGGGAGTTCAAACAGAGATACCAAGCGGCCTGAACTTTGGTTCTTTACCCATTAAAAAAAAAAAAAAAACTCTCACTCAAGCGTGAAAAGAATTTCCTCTGTACGTCTGAACACATTTAGTCTTCGAGAGGTTAAACCGTGCAGTAAACACGAGAGCAAATATTTCATCCAGACGTGCATTTAGCAGGAGGTTCCACTTTGCACTATTACAGAGGTCTGCGTTTGAAAAATGAAAGCCGCCCCCCCCCCCACCCCGGCTAAAGGCTAAATATGTGATCAATACCCTGCTTCCCTAAAAAAAAGTGCAATGCCAGGAAGTGCCCGGGCCTGAAAATGGATGATGATTGGGGGTCGAACATTGATTGGTGCGCCCCCTTTGCCCCAGGAACCAATTCATTTTGTGTGCATGCCCTGCGCCTGCCTTGAATGAAGGGGAAACGGGGTCAGAGCGGAGGCATCCCCCAGCCCCACACACACAAACACACACGGTTCAGAGCCCCGTTCTCTCTCTCTCTCTCTCTCTCTCTCTCTTTCTTTTTCTTCTCAATGATTCATCCACATTACCATGTCCGGGGAGAAGAATGAATGAGCGGGAAGATTATACGTTTGGGTCTCGCTTTTAATTCGCCTGCTACACCGAGGGAAGTGGGAGGAGATGGCGGGGGGCTGCTATTACTTTCCATTCATTGAAGAGAAAATTGAAGCATGCGAGTGTCTGATGTGGGCTTTAATGTGCAGCGAGAGAGGTCCATCTGTATTCCAGTAGGCACAGATGGTCCGCGCTGATCGGATGTTTTGAGTCCCTCTGCTGGCCGGCCTGTCTGATCCTGCACCGCCAACTGTAGCCCGGCACAACCTAACGTGGAATTACTGCGTCTGAGAGCCTGGAACAATAAGCCATACTTTACCCCGCTCTGTTTTTTTTATTCTGTCAGCAAACCGGTCATTAGGCTGGATGCTGCGTCTTTCCTTTCGGAGTTTTCACAGAGTGTGATCGCGGCTGCTTCCATGGCACATCAGTGTTTACACCACGCTTTTAAGTATCACATGCGTGTGACAATGAAAGACTTATGGTCGGGGCTAATAGGTCGATATAACAGTCCTTTTAAAATTAGTGCTGACGCTGCAAGACAACAGAAGGCTCCTTTATGTAACTGGTATTGTGTTCTCCGCCTTAATGGGCCGGTCGGAACATGTGCACATCTTTATCATTTTTGAGATCGCTGCCACTTAAACCAGATTACAAGAGTTAAATATGGACTTGTGGTTTAATGAAAGAGGATTGGTCATAAATCCTCCTGCTCTGGAATAGTCACATTAGTGTGCACATGTAAAAACGGAAGCTTCGTCTGTTTGACTGCGGGTCTGTACGTGATTATTTGTGTTTGGTGCCTAATAAAAAGCCAAGGACAGTCTAAACACTGCTGATAAACCAACTCGTGTCCTTGCACATTGAGAAAAGCACAGCTGTTGAGGGACGCAGCAAATTCTCATATTTGAGGAGCTGAGGTAAACAAATGGCTGCAGTTTTCTGTCAATGGACTGCTCGTTTTAAAGCAACACGCCTGCCACAGTGACGTCCTGCACTCAGAGGCAGGGACAACGTGCCTCAGAGCGTAAAAAACAATCCTGCAAGTGCACAAATGGAGCTCCTCATTATGTTTTTACAGTGACAAAGCTGTGAGACATGCTGGGGGAGCGTGAGGCATTTGTAAATCATGTGGTGGAGACAGTTATGTGACACCTTCTGTTCTGCTTCTATTCGCTCTCGTCACCTGACGCTCCAGTTCTGTCATCGCAAGGGTTTTTCCTCCCTTTCTGATAAACTTCGCTGTCACTTTGAGGAGCATATTATCAATATTTGACTTACTTGTTCAATAAAGCTTGTCTCACATGACTGATAGCATCAGGGGCCTGTCCCGGCTGGGAAGACTGAAAAAGACAAGTTCTCACATGTTAGCGAACGCCTCAATTACAAAATCAAGCCAAAATCATGTGAAAAAAGATAAGACGGAACAACCTACTTACAAAAAAATGTGTTTCTCAGGCGCTTTTAATGATAAAGCTTGTCTGAGCGGCTTTGAATCATGTTTAGTCAGCAGACACTTTAATGTGTGGGTTTAGAAAAAGAGGAAGGGTTGGAGGTCCAGCTGGGGAAAAAAAGGAAAAACAATGAATGCGATGTCGTCATCCTGTTCACAAGGGGAGTCCCTGCAATCCCCTGTGCTTATCCCACCAGATGCGTGGGATGCTCTAATATACATCCTGGAACAGAAAAATCAACCCAGCTTCCTGTCGTGGGACCCGTCTCTGCCGCTGACGCTCGGCTGAACTCTCTCATGACAACGTTTCAGGTCCGAATAACACAGAGAAATATACTGCAAAGGCCAGGGGGGGTGATGCAGCGAGCTGAGAGAGGGCAGAGGAATTTTCCAACCGTTATCAAAATACACAACCGTGCCCCCTTCTCACTTTGGTATGTGAGCACTGTGCGATGGGCAGAACACACACACACACACACACACACACACACACAGAGTATTTCCTCTGCAGGCTGCTGACAGCTTGAGAAACAACAGTGTTTATCTTTGCTGATGTGATTTTTCTCACAGAAAAGTGCTGCAGACAGAAACACACTCTGTGTAAAAGTCATTTGCACGATAAGATGATTTGTTTGCACCATCACATGTTGATGTTGTGTGTTTACACACTTCACTGCACCTACACAACTTATTTATCAGCACTGAAGCATTTTAATCCAGGAACCATGCTTCACTGCAGCTAAGTGGCTATGTGATGCTAGCTGACATTAGCATTGGACTGCAACAGCTGCAGCTACATCTTTCTGGGTGGGAAGGGCTAACTCAAATTGCTAGCAAACATTAGCTGTTTATCAAAGTTGCTAGTGTTGTCGTCTTTATAAATAAACGCCACTAAGCTAAGCGGCTACATTTTTTCTGCATGTAAACAGATAACCAGGATAGCTGGCTAACATCAATCTAGCTAAAAGTTTAATTTGGCATTATTATCTTCAATAAAAGCCACTAGCTAATTTGGATGTAACCGGCTAGCTAACTAATTAATGTAGCTGTGTAATAAATCTGTCATTCAAATAACTGCCTCTGGCTAACAAGCTAAAACAACTACACATTTCTTTTGATTCATTAGCATAGCAAGCTATCATGAATTTAGCTGTGTAATTAAGTTGTGATGTTAAATAATTGCTAGTAGCTAATAAGCTAAGCAGCTCATTCCCTCAGAATGTAATTTCGAGTAATTTGTCAAAGTGGATTTCATGTCGTGTTGAGATAACGAAGCCTCAGTTTGTTTCCACACATCGAGTTGCTACCAGGTAATTAGCTGAGTGGCTAACACACTTTAGCTAGCAAAACCCTTTTTCTGTTAGATTAGCATTGATTAGCATTGATTAGCAGCGGCGTCCGTAGACTTACTGTAGCTGTAGTTCTCTGAACAACGTGTTGATGAGGTTGATCCTGAGGTGGCAGCTGAAAACATGGAGGGAACACACACACACACATGCACACATGCACAGACACACACAGTGTTTGTGCAGCCAGGGCTGAAGTCTGCAGTGAAGACTTGTAAATAGTGAGGGAGGGAGGTGCTGCTGTTCCACATGACATCACCAGCAGCTGCTGACAGGCCTGTGTTTATGAACTGCTGCTGCAGGAGTCACACACAACCACACAACTACACAACGACACAAACGAGACCAGACAAAGCTCCTCTGGCTTCTGCTCAACACACATGCAGAAGTGTGCACGCATGTGCTTTCTTTCTTTCTGGTTTTTTTTTGGAGGTGAAAACACAACAAGTTGAAATATTCCTGGAATCTCTCGGCCCGGGCGACGGCCAAACGTCTGGAGTGGATTTGTGCAGTTTCTCTCCTGACGTGTTACCTGTCGTCAGGCTGCTCGGCCCTGAGACCTGCTGACTGGGCTGGTAGAGCCGTTCTCCTGACTCAGAGAGCAGTCAGTGTAATGCTAGAGCTGCAGAGACGGAGGTGCTGCATTCCTCAAGTGTCTTGGCTTGGCAGCGTCCCCAGCCTCTTAGCTCAGCCTGTACTTCTCCTTCTCCTTTCTTGCCTTCTCATTTAAATGGAGGCACATGACTCTCGGCTTTACTGCCAAGGAGACTTCTTAATGCCGGCAGGGAGCCACCGCCGCTCTGCTTTTCATTGGCCCCTCTGCAGGGCACCGCATTCCTCGTTGCCACCCGTCCTCGTGGCCTGCAAGATGCGAATCGACCTTAGCCCTGATGTCATATTTAGTTTATTTTTCATGTTATTTTCTGCAGAATGCATCAAAATCAAATGTGCATGTACTTAAAATAAAATCATAATTTCAAGTTTCCTAGCTCGCAGCCTGGACGGCCGAGCCCTTCGGCTAAAGTCCCAGCCACCCACTGTTGGTCTTCCATAACCACTGTGAACAAATGCTCCACTTCAGCCCGACTCCGCTGCATTCTTTGTGGCCTCAAGTGCAATAATTTCTCTGCGTAATTCCATTCTGTCGTCGCATTCTTCCCCTATAAGATCACTGCATTGCAACATTGTTCGCTCACAGAGACAGAGCGAGGACGAGTGGGCTGACGACACCACAAGGCTGCGGAGAGCTGAGAGATAAATTCACAAATCACACAAACTATTTGTAATCACGGGCGTTCACTTAAACCGAAATGTCAGGAGCTAACTGAATAAAAAATCAGATGATTGGCGTCTGATGACTTTGGAGAAGGGTCATAATATGATGCATTTGATAATGGGAATCTTTGATTGTGCAATTGAAAGCTTGTGATATTTTCTTTTAATCTAATAGAAAAAACTCCAGAATGAACATTTGAATAATGCCACAATTGTGTGCGCTCTTATTTGGGAAGGTTTACAGATGGGTCATTAATCTGAGTGGGTAAATCAGGGGCAGCACCGCAGTGGGTGCACGTGAGAAAGCCTGAGTTTTCTCATGTTATCTAAAACAAAAACAAACAAGTTTAAATCCTCTCCTTTATATCTCATCCTGTCTTCCATATCTTCCTCCTCCACTCACTCTGAGACATTCTTATCTCAGAGTAAGGAAAGATAAACACTCATTCTACTCTCCTTCGCTCTCACTTTTTATTTTTATTGTCAATTTGAAAGATTTGGGGCAAAAATCTGGATGTTTGCACAAACTATTACCTCCTGGGAGCGACAGAGCAAAAGAAAACAAGCTTGAGGATCCCATTCCAGTGGAAACCTTGCTCATACATCACTGTGATCGTGTGTCTGCGCCCGGAGAGTCCTGCAGGGAGGTAATGGTTAAATGATTGTGGAACACACGTCTTGACCTGCAGCACATCCGGCGCCATTGCAGGCAGGAGGTCCGACTCTTTCATGTCACAGGTCGGAGCCCCGCAGGAGACGGCAGGAAACGATTGGAGCAGAGGGAGGGAGAAGATGCAAGAAGACGGGTCAAAGCATTTAGAAGTGTGGAGGCTCCAGAGCTTCACAAATGGCTCTGGTCAAAATACACAAGAGCTGAAACACACTGCAGCTGCAGACCTGATGGTGAATGAGGTGAATGTCTGAGGTCAAATGTGGGAAAAACACCCAAGGAGAAAAACACATAAACACAAACAGATGCATAAATGCACAGCATCACAGTGTCACCCCTTCTTCTTCCAAACGTGTGGGGCTGCTTTATCATTCAGCCATAATGCCTCCCTTCGGATCGCTCGCTGCAATTGTGGTTAAGACCAGAGCGACCAGAGAGCAGACAACTCTGCTGCTCGCTGCAAGATCTGACACGTTTACATGGATGTATTCTGAAATTAGCCAGATACATTAATTGGTTTATAAGTGATGACGTCAGCAAGTCCGAGTCAACTTGTAGTTTCTCCAAATTAGGAAATGATTTGAGAAATGAGTAATGTCTCATTCAGAATCAGAACCAGTGTAAGGATTCAAAATCCATAGAAATGTATGAAGAAAACAAATCTGACTTCTGATTGTTTGGTGCATGATGTGGAGAAAGTGGCTCAGGGTTAATTCACATGAAATCATTTTCCTCCTCGATCCTGTCGAGGAGGTTGAGTCTCCTCTCCTCTTCAGCTCTGAGGAGCAGGAAGCAGCTCCGCTCCACTGACATGAAGGAATGCCACATCGATGTTATTTGCAGCTGCACTGGGAACCCGGCCGCCTCGGAAAGCATCTTTATGTGCATGTAAGCTCCGACTCCAGAGACACTGGTGCAGTACATACGCTAAAGATTTCACCTTCCACAAATCAGAGTGGAGGAAGTGTGGAGTTTGCACTGATGTCAGCATCTCTGAGTCCGCAGGGGATCAAGCCGAGCCGATTTAGACGAAGCAGGATGTAATGCAGAGCAGGAACAACGGAGGTTATCCAGCTTTGACATTGTCGGGCCTTTGTCTCGTCAGACATGCTGGATATTATTAAACTGCAGCTACTCTCCTGATGCTGTTGTGCAGACTCACATCGAGGCCCAGAGTCGTTTATATTTAATCAAAGAAGCTTTCTCTCGTTCTCTGAAGCAGCAAACCGAGCCGGGCGTCCTGCCAGGTCGACATTGTACAAATTGACTTAATTTCATTGAGTTATGGTCTGTGATTTCCTGACGAGGACCTCTCCCCATTTGTCTCGTCCCTGTCCCACAGAATCAATGGCTGTCCAGAGGGAGCGAGGGACGCACCGTATCTTATGGCTGTCTCATGCAATTTTTTCCACTCTCCCTGAGGTAAGAGGATGGGAGAGTGGAACAAATAGGCCTTGTGTTTTCACCCCGGTGTTTGTATGCATTACCACGACCAGGCTTCCTGCCAACTTCTCCCCCCCCCCCCCCCCCCCCCCCCCCCGCAGACTGCAAAAGCAACCAGAGCAAGCACCACCGCTGCTGCCTTCACCTCCAGGCAGAGCACAAAAGGAGGCAAAGAGCCGGAGCCCCCACCAATCAGGCCGAGGATGGAGATGACCACGCGGAGGTTAAAGGCGGCGGCAGCGGAGCCAACGCCAGCTGGGACGAGGAGTGGCATCCTTTTGCTTTATCTCTTTTTGTCTTCGCAGCCCAGTGCATGAGCGGAGGGAGGATGTGAGGTCCCATTTGGCTGTCACTGACATGTAAAAAGAGTGTGGCAGCGACAGCTGACGAGATCAGGGGCCTGTAATTAACCGAGGACGGAGGACAGACTCTCCCCTTTAGTGGCAAACACACACACACATTGAAACATGAAGGAGCATCGACACGTAAAGATATAACAGATTAAAACCACACCAGCGCTCGTTTGCCTGAAGGGGACATTATGAGTTATCTATTAGTCCACGTGTGAGGTTTCACACTGACTCCAAGCTTCTCTGGGTGCTATAACTGTAAAGGCGTGAACCATGTGGTCTGGCCTGAGGCGGCCACACATACTTTCAAAAAATAAAGCCCTGCAGCGCTCTGCAGAGAGGTTGGACTGTAACTCACTCCTTCATCCCAGGGATAGTCAGGTGTGAGAATAACAGCCCAGGCTCATCACACCTCATAAATCACAACTCGGCGTGAAATGTACTGAACGGTGTCTTAACGCGCTCGGGTCGACGTCATCCTGAAAACACGGAGACTGAGCAGAACCGCTAAAGTCCTGATCCAACTCTTATCTTAAAGTTCAACTCACCGACGTTTTCAACTTGGCTGGTTCCGCTCGTCATATTCGTTTTCGGTTCAGTTGAGGTGGAGTCTTGTTTTGTGCTATAAACAGACGCTGCCGTGAGAAAGAGGCTCCAGACTGTGTGTGACCCTTTCACATAATATACAATCATGAAAATATGGATGATCGCAGCTTTAAGAGCTTTGGCTCAGCCTCATTACGCTGGAGGTGAATCTTGTTTGCTCACAATTTTGAAAAATGGCAGCGTTCCCGTGCCTCTGGAAGACTTTCAGTGTCCACAGCTTATAAAGGGACGATTCTTTTGCATTGAAAGTCGTCTCTTTGTAATTTAAGTCCAACACACGACTCCTCCATAAACCACAAATTGCTGTTTTTACATTTCTCTCTCCTCACAAGTTAAACAAAGGAGATACAACGTGTGAATTAGTCCAAAGGTGTTTTTCTTCACTTTGGACGGAGACAGACGAGTTTCCACTCTCTGTGCTCAGAGACAAATTCACATCGATCTCGTCTCGTCTCAATTTCCAAAACATGTGAAATATTCCTTAAAGAATGGACGAGAAGCAGTGAGCTTTAAATCCAATAACACGCACACACACAGGCCTCTGACTGGAGGACAGTGCATGTGTGTGTGTGTGTGCCTGGGGTCGAGGGCTACCAACAGACAAGTTACCGTGGTGATTAAGCTCCTCTTTCAGGCTGAAGGTGGACCCTCTCTTGGATCTGGGCCGGTGTCAAACCACCACAAGGGTCTCAGCGCTCGCTCAAAACCCACCG